AAGACTTCACAGCTCTTCAAGCTTCTACTTCCACGTTCTCCTCGACCGTTCGRTTTTTGTAGGCTACTCGTTTCTAACCCAACCCTCGGAGGGCTGCACTGCATCAGCAGGCATCGACCCTTCATCCACCAGATCGAGTTGAACTCCTAGTWGACTAATGTCAAAGTCAAGCAACAGGGCCAGCACTTGGGCCTTTGTATCTTCAATGCTCTCCAAGTAAGAGGTGACACCAAAGTTGGCCATCTCAGTCAGATAGGCCTTGATGGTCTTCTATTCTTCCATGGCCTAGGCCAAAAGCCTTATTGGCTCTCTTTTCGACCGCCTCGAGTCTCTCATCGGTCTCTTGTAGCTTTTGCTTAGCCTCTTTTTGTTTTTCCTCCACCTCGCTCAGGGAGGTCCAGGGAGCTTGTAGCTACTCCCTCTCGACCATGACCTCAGCCTCCACATCCTTCCAGCGGGCATGCTCCTCACGCACTACATTGGTTGTCGCCTCCCAGCCCTTCTCAGTCTTGGCTAGTTGAGGCTTCAACCTCTCTTTCTCCTCCTGCGAGATCCTCAATTGTTGTAAGAGGACCTTGACCTTATTGTAAAGGTCGACGATAGTGGAAGACGCTTGCAATGAACAAACGATTGACATCTAATGAAAAGTAAGAAAAAGAAAAAAAAATTGACAAAGTGCTTGAGGAGAGGAAACTCACCTCAGCCAATCGATCCAGAAGGGTGTCTCGTACACCCTGGATGCTCACCTAGGTCCAAAACTTTATGTCCCCTAACCAGGAGCATCCCAATCAACAGGGCTCGGCCGACCCCCAGGGTGCTAAAAGTATCACCCTCTCGAACGTTCTCGTGAGGGCAGAAGATACATCGCGTCACCAACGGCATGTCATTGTGATGATTTGAAGAATGAGGCCCTGACTGGCGAGAGCTCCCAACAGCGCCCTCGGCTGGACGCTCTTTCACCGCCAGCCTTTTTCCCCCTCGGAGTCTAGAGGGGCTCGACGGGTCTCTTCGCGGTAGGCTCCTTCCTCCTCTCAGCCTCGACGRGCTCCTTCCCCCTCTCAGCCTCGGCGGGATCTTTCCTCTCCTTGGCCTCGACGGGAGCCTTCGGCCAAGGTGGTTCCCTCACAATAGCAGCTTCCCTTGGTGTTCGCTTCCTTAGTCACCCTCTACTCGAAGTCCTCTTGTTAGACCTCTCCATCTGCATTATTTTGTCCTTAATGCTGCCCTACATCTTTACAAAACACCGCGAGATGTGTTAGTGCGCAATGCAAAAGAAGAAGTGAAGATGGTGTGTACAACTAACAATAGGAGTTTTCCTACCGAGATGGGCAGGGCAGAGACCAGCCCACACCAAGGCTTCCACAACCACCAAGGGCTTAGCGAGAATCATCCCTAACACCTGAATCCAGGTCATCACGCTAGCCTCATCATCTTTATAATAAGGTTGTATCCTCTTGGCAACTAGATCCAGCTGCCCCCAGTCAGTTCCAAAAGGCCAACCCTCCAGATAGGACACAAAGAAGTACTTCCTCTTCCAATTGTGAACGGATGACTGGTTGTCCACTACTCTACCCCATCAGCCCTAAAAGTAAAAAAAACCTTCCCCAACATGGTGCTTCCTCAGGATGAACATGCATCGAAAGATATTCACGGTCACATATACACCTCAGAGGCGGGTCATCACCAGCATGACTATGATGGTCCTAACAGCATTGGGGGCAAGCTAATTGAGGGAAACATTATAACAGTTCAAGAGATCGAAGATGAGAGGAAGAATGGGGAATTGGAGGCCAATGTGCAGGTAGTGCTCATGCACTCATACCTCCCCCTCGGGCGGCTGCCACAACTTATCACCGATGTTGGGGACTCTAAGCCTATAATTCCCGAGGATATGGTATATCTCAACAAGGGACCTCACTTGCTCCTTGCTGAGTTCACTATCCATGTCAGAGAGCGAATAACACATCAATACAATGCCTCAGCCTTCGGCCTCAGCTATGCCTTCAGGTCTCGGGTCCTCGGCTTCCTTAGACTCCACCACTTCAGGTTTCGTCAAGGCATTCCTAGCGGCATCACCCGTTGGCCGAGTAGAACTAGTACCTTCATCGGGAGACTCACCACCCTACCAGTCGCACTCGGTGCCTCCCGGAGCAATTCTCTCCCTCAGTACCTAGGCCTCAGGCCTTCAAGGAGAACCCTTAGACCCACTACTAGGACTCTTACTATTGGTCGAGGTGGAAAATGAGGTGCTAGTGTTTGAGAGGTCAGGAAGATCATAGCACTCAAGACCGGAGTCAGAATACGACATGGTTACGAGAGAAGTCCTTTACCTAGTAGTTGAGTCAAAGATGGGTTGAGTCGAAGAAGAGGAATAAAAGTTCTGCTAGAATGTGATCGAGGTCTCTAAAAACTCAAGCAAAAGCAGACAAATGGTAGCGGTTGCCTCAACCAACGACCCTATTTAAAGAAGAATTAACAACTCAAATCACTTTGATCCAACGATCACAGAGCAGCCAACTTGATGACCCAAACTGACACGTGCCATGTTGTATCGACTTCGAGAATGCAAAACAATGTCGAGTGAGTCAGCTAGTTCGCTTGTTGACCTCAAGTCAAAAGCGGCCCAACCCGGGGACCCATTGCCCATCTCGTGTACAGTCGCGACCAGTCAATAGCAACGCCCGTCCCACATACAAATCCATGATGACACCGGTGAGGAACACGACTGACGAACACGGATGCCTCATTCCCATACAAGACACGACTCCATGCCCTCAGCCCTCCGTGATTCTCCTAACAGGCAGAGTCAGCAATGGAACAGTTGTCACATAACGACCTAGTGGAGCTCTCAGCAACCAAGGTCGACATCCCACACTTCTGAACAACACTCTCTTCAACCAAGTCAAGGCCTTCGCCTAACGTGCCATCCAACGGCTTCAAGTGACACTTTCTTCAGTCGAAGATGAGGTTTCCACTTAGCCCGTCGTCGGACCTCGCCCTTTATGGCCTCGAGAGTGGGGGAAATGATGTAGGCACATGTGGCAGGGCCCAGGATTGTGCCACATGGAATTGACTAGATGCAATCCTGGTTGTCCACTGCTAACCACCTCCAACTACTCCCAAGGCAAGGTCAAGTATAAATAGGGGCGCCCCTCTCCAGGTAAAGCTATCTTGCTCACTYTTGCTCTTCTGCTCATTAGCTCTCAAGTGACCTCGTCTGAGGCCTCATCCTACCCCTCTCATACACTTGACTAACTTGACCGTCAGAGTCTCTGCCATGGGAGAACACCCAAGGCCTCTGATTTGATGTCTTATTCTCAGGTTGGACACATCAGCCATGACCAAGTAAGTGAATTTACCTTGTTTCCCTCAACCCCATCCTTGGCAGCAACAATTGTGTTCTTTAGTGGAGTGTGACGCTAAGGCATTATTAGAGGCCCTCAAGCTTGCTGTAGGTCTAAATCCGAGTTGTATTGTCATTGAGGGAGATGTGTCGCAAGTTCGTTAAGGGAGGATACTTCTCATCTTTGGTGAATTACTAACATTCTTGCCGATTGTAGAGAGCTTTCAAATTCTACCTTCTGTTGCTCAGTTACTCATGCTAGAAGAAATGGAAACATGGTTGCTCACAAGTTAGCTCGTCACTCTCTTTCTTTCTCAAGACCTCATACATGGTATTCACAACCTAATTTCATATCATTTATTTTGGCTTTTCATTGAAATACTTCTTCAACAATTTTATCTTAATGAATTGTCTTAAGGCATAAAAAAAAAACTATTTGAGACCTTACCATCCTAAAATCCTAAGTTCATTTGTTCAACCCATTATGTGATAATTAAGTCAGCGCAATCTAGTTAATCACTTAAAATTAATCTATTTGCTAAAAATAGTTAACACCACATAAGGGAAGGACTTTTTCCCTTTTTGTCATTGTGAAATGGTGTCCAACTCCCAACACCACCTATATCTTTCATTGAGGATTTAGATAATCCTATTACAACGAATTTATACAAAGTATTCTATATGTCCTAACATAGTAGTAGATCCTATCACATTGATCACCATTCAATATACCATCCTTGAATGTCCCAACATACGCAAATATTTGACCCCAGAAGGATCTCACTGATTGGTATATCAAAGATAGACAAGTCTAATACTTAATTTGATATCAATACCAAATATAGAGATTAAGAACAATACCTAGTTGTTCAACCTATCATAAAATCCAAGAACATGCTGGGTTCGGYCCAATTCAATGTTTATTGTAAATATTCACCCTCACACCTTATGTCACAACCCAAGCAGTTAAGACCCACTACTCTACAAACTTGAGCAATATGAGAGTGACAACCTTGTTAGGATAGATAGACTTTTCCAAATGTATCTGTTAGTTGTAAAGATTTAAGTCCATATTAAATTAATTATATGATCTTATACATAATACTAATATGAAGTAAGGGTAATTTAGCAGAACAACTTAAATGACACATAAAATGAATGTTTCTTTATTTATAATAAATCATGTACAATACTTCAATCGGAGTGGAAGGCATACAGTGTGTAACATTATTTTGCCATAACTGTTTTTAAGGTTGTTCACGGGTCAGGTGGGTTCGATTTCACACGTTTTTGTCATAATGGGTTGACTTATAAACAACCAAAACGGACTAAAGTTAATAAAAAATCGATAAAAACTAGATGTACGTAAGGTTAGTTTAATTGGTTTGAATCCAAATCGCCGTTCTCTTTTTTTAAACCCAAGTTAAAAAGAAAATTTTCAATTTTCACATGTGGCAAACCTTCCAAATGTAATAAATCACAACTTTTTTATGATAAAATATTGTTATTAATAGCTTTTCTAGCATCGGCAATAAATATTGTTAATCATCATTGTTTGCCTTTGCGTGCTTTCTACTTGTAACTTCACTATTTTATCAACAATATAAAAGAATGGCAAATTAGTGTCAATCTTATTACTTGTACATATTGTCAACTTTTTACTTTATTAAGACGGAAGGAGGGTCAGTACAAGAAAATAGAGTTCTAGCGGCAGTTTTCGACCCGGCTGTTTGGCGACTGCCGCTACAATTGACGCCTCTCCCGCTGAAAATATTCACGCCTCTCCCGCCCTTCTCTCTCTCTCTCTCTCTGAATCATCCCTCTCTCGCTCTGTCTCTCACTCAGTCGTCTCTCTCCTTTTCTCTCTCTCTTAGTCTGAATCATTCCTCTCGCGCTCTCTCTCGCTCTCAGTCGTCTCTCTATTTCTCTCCCTCAGTCGTCTCTCTTTCTCCCGCTCTCTCTCGCTAAGTTCTCTCTCTCTTGCACTCGTGCTCGCTCTATCTCTATCTCTCTCACACACGATTGGACATCAGCGATTCTCTCTGTCTCTCACGGTCTCTCTCTCAGATACATCCACAGCATTTGATTCACAAGTAATTCCTATATATGTTGTTTTTTTTTTCTCTATTTGTTAGGATTTCTTCATTATTTCCACCACTTATGCTCTGTATTCTTTGATAAATGCTAGTTTAGTCTAAGTACTGAGGAACTCTAAAGGACAGCTTCGATTTGCCAAGGAGGTACTAAACTTCTCTCTTGCCGTCTCAGTCGCATTCCTCTATTTTTTTTATTTTGTTCATCTATTTTGATTGAAAATTATACTAGCTGTTATTTTGTTCCTAGTCAGCCAACTACATGTGCGATGGCAATAATTTGGTAAACCTAGCTTGGTGGTAATAATTTGGTAAACCTTTGTTATTGTTATTGTTATTCAATGTATATAAAGTGGCTTGCAACTAACAGAGCACCACTGCCTTATCAACATAATTCTTGTTTCGTAGTTGCTGTTGGAACCCTGTTTTCTGAATTAATTCTTGACAAATTTTCAATTAAATTACGTATTCTGAAAGACAAAACCCTTATTACTGTAGTATTTTTTAATATTTTTGGGAATTTGTGACACTAATCGATTCAGTGAAGTTACCGGTACAAGAATAGTCTTGTACATGGGGTTGGTACCATGTCCATGGATGATTTCTGATACACAAATCTTCTAAACAAATATGTAAGCAAAATCCTTGCTGTTTTCTTTTCTGAAGAAAAGAGGGGGATGACAATATATAGAACCAGTGGAACCACCGCTATATAAATGTGCCTTCAGATCACACAACAAAGATTTTTGGAACCATCCATTGCAGCTTTGTTCATGATTAAAAAATGAGGGAAAGAAGTCTTTCTGAAGTTTCTAACAAGAACAGGTAAAGAATTACTCCAAATATTGATTGCTCTATGAAACCTGCGGTAATGATGTTCCACACAAAAGGAACGGTCCTGCATACAGAAGAAAACAATGAATTCACATGGCCACACTCACACACAAAAATGAAAATTACTAGACTTTAAAGTAGATCCTATCATAGGATCGGTGGTGGCTGCTGCCATGGCGGCATCCCCTCCACACAAAAGGAACGGTCCTGCATACAGAAGAAAACAATGAATTCACATGGCCACACTCACACACAAAAATGAAAATTACTAGACTTTAAAGTAGATCCTATCATAGGATCGGTGGTGGCTGCTGCCATGGCGGCATCCCCTCTAATGCAAAATGCTGATTTTGCTCTTCGAGAAGAGGATGCTGTGAAGTCTGGAATAGAGGAAATCAAGAAGAAATTGGGGATTTTTGTCAAGAGCATTGAGGATCTGGGTGAGCATGCTGACAAGTGCAGCAGGGATATAAGAAGGGCAAGAACAGTAGTCCTGCAGAGGATTATTAAGAATCCCAGCAACTGATACAGATTTTTGGTATGCTCTATTGATTTCAAGCTAAATACATGTTAAGTTCTGGATCTTGGATCTAAACTTGGATGGTTTCCAACTTTCATCTCTTCATGTCTAAATGTATTTATTGTTTTAACATTAATATTGTTCTTTGATTCACAAAATTGTGGATGGTGAGTGTTACATTCTTTTACAACCATGTTTATTACTGTTTTTGGTTNTATTTGACTGCCATGCAGATGTGAGGTACCTGGCTATAGATCAATAAATGATTAAATCCCTAGAATATGTTATTCCTTCTGTTTATCAACATATCGTTGAAGTTGGAGAAACTTATTGGAAGAAAGCATCCAATCCAATTTCTTAAGTAGTAATTCTCTATGACTTGTATGACAACAAAAGGATTATGAAATGCACTAAATCCATTAAGTGGGACTCTTATTATCATACAACTGCCTAGGCATCTATTCTACATAGCTGAACTCTTAAGTTTGATGAAAAATAGCAAGGAGATTGAAACAGTATGGGCAATTTATTTATGGAAGTGTCATGCCTCAATGCTTGTTCTTCTTGCATTATCATGGAATAAGGAAAAATAGTAGATAATAAA